TTTATAAATCTGCGTGGACGCACGTGGGGAGGGCAAATCAAAAAAAAATTGCACTTGATTGTGGCAAGTGCACGAGAAATATTTTCATGCACTTTTCTAATGCAGCCGGCATATCAGAAGTAGCAGCAGATGCATCGTGCTGTGTTCCAAATGAGCAAAAAAAAATTGTCTAAAGAAGGAAAACGAGAAGCCCAACGAACCGACATATCTCTGAACAAAAAGAAAACAACAACAACACAGATAAAAACGTAAACGAGCGTGAAATACTTCAGCAACATACCGTTTGCTAGGTGAAGTAAATTGAAATCGATTTGGGAATAATGTCATGAGTGAAAATAGTATATTTTATTTCGCTATTTATACTGTGCTCTTCTTTTTACCCCTGAATGTCTTTTCTTCACTCTTTCTCTCTGTGTGTGCATTCTGCGCTATTCTCCTGATCATTCGTTTCGTTTGCAATTTTATTGTATTTGTTTCGATTAAAGTGTTTCATTTGTTGCAGATGTGCAGCAATGTGCAGCGGCCGTATTGCTTTCGTTTACCACTTATTTATGTGCTAAGCGGAAAATTTATTAGATTTAATGCATTCAAACCAAGATCCAAAACAGTACCTTAACTTTAATCTCGGTGGCAATAAATGAAATAACTCGTCCTCTGAATTTCCCATTTGGCGAATCAATTTGAAATTAAATTGCTTCGTACATTTTTTTCTTTCATTATTCCATTCACAATTTTAATTGTTGTAATGATTTTAACACTGGGATTTATTGGTATTGATTGGAAACTGTTTCAATTGGAATGATTCCTGTGTACGCTTGAATTTTAAAGCTGCTTTTTTTAATTTATTTCATTTATTTAAATGATAAATGACAAAACTTTTGAATTGAAATCGTAATCGTGTCGCGAAAAACACATTTCAATAAGCTTTTCTCTATATTATTGATGATATTCAGGTTTAAATCAATTTGGTTTTCGATCAATTGCATCGTCACAAAATAATTTAAAGATAACCATAAATCGAATTAAACGATAATGATGTCGTTTTTGGTGTTTCTATCTATCTATCTATCTATCTAGTTATCGCAAATTAGAAGCTGAGCAAAATTCACACTGCACGGAAAACAACTGAATTTCAATTTCAGACCGATGAATGTTTCGCGTGAATTTCATCGGATTTTAGTCATTAATTGAATACAAAAACAATGCGACAAAGACAAAACTTTTCCACTTATCCTTCTTAAGTCTGTCGAACCGACGAAGGAAACAAACAAAACTTTGATACGATGAAAGTGATCAAATGGTGCCAAAATTGATTGGGGATATACGATGAAGACATAATGAAGTCATGTGATATAGTAAAATATGCGTTTTATCGTATTTAATTTGAAATTAATTAAGCGAATAATCTGACTTTAATTCAATCAAAATACATTCCAACCGAACGATCTATGGTCGTTGTTTTATATTCTTATATTTTAAATCCAGTGTACGCGGATTTTTTTTCGTTGCAAAGGATATCTTTTCGATTTATTCAATGGAATGATTTTCAAATACTTTTTTTTTTACTTCCATCACGACGGATTCAAATTAATCTCATTGGAATGCAATGGCAATTCTGTGTGTCGCGTTTTTTTCACCATTAAACACAAATCAATAACGAATTTCTGTGAATTGAAGTATTTAATCACACGTTCAATTGTTTGACATTCGATTACCGAATTCAAAAGCGACAAGAGAATGAACGAAAGGGGTTGCTTTTAATTTAAATTGAAATATACAAAATGGTTATTTTTAGAGTTTGTTCAATAGTGATTGCGTTTTTACTGCATGTTGTTAACAAAACCAAATCCGATGCTTTTCTAACGACAACCAAACACATTTCTATAAAAAGCATTAGACGCAAAGTTCATTGCAAGCAAAACAAATGCTTTAAAAATTGTTGAAAAAAAAAAAGAATTTGAATTGATATGCTCAACCGACCATGTGTTGAACGTCTCTCCCATGCTGTGTCTGAGTCGCGATGCCAATCATTTGTTTCAATCATCACCATTATTATGCGCTATTTGGAATTCACAATACATCGACAACCCGGCATGTGTTTATATCAACATCATCCAGGATATTACTTGATTGTTTTTGACAGCACAAACGAAGCGTACAGAAAACGTCGACCGTTTGCAAAATTAAATCAAGAGCAGCATGTTCCATTGTATCAACACAATGCCAAAGCAACGATACATATAAAAAAAAGCAATGAACGATTCATGTATTCAATCATCTGTGAATGCAATAAGTCCTCGCACATTCACTCTCGCCGTTTTTTTTCAACATTGCAAAGTGGGATTCGCTTCGAAAACCTTTATCAACAACACATCACATGATCCTGCCCAGAGTTTCATGCGAGCATATATTTTCAACTGATATCTCAATTTGATTGCGATTCAACCCATTTCATTTCTTTTCACATAACGATACAAGAAAAACGTACGCAAATATATGCTTAGTGTGTGTACATACTACATACGTTTTTCATTTTGATTTATTCAGTTCGCATTCGACTTTACGGTGATGCTATTTTTTTTTGTTGTTGTTTAGTTGCATACGTTTAAGTCTGTAGTCTGTATTCCAAAAAGTTAATTTCCGAACTTTGTCACATAAGTTACATGGAGCATCATTCCGAAAAAACGAATTTTGCATATAAAATTCGAAAAACATTCAAACGGAATAAATGCAAATGTCTTCTTGTTTGTACTTTGATGATTTTCCCCCTTTTCGCTATCATATTGACATCGATGGGACGATGTATTCATTTTTTCTTCTTCTTATTCCTCCAACAATCTTTGTACTTTGAGAGATTCAATTGATATTTTGCTTTTAAATCGTTTGAACTATGTAAACAACGAAAATATGTATGTGATGAAAACTTTCACAACAAAGGGAAAGTACACATATGTTTGATGTTAAAACCCTTTCGTTTGTTTCTTCTTTTTTTTTTTTTGTTTTAAAGGTTAAAATCTATTCTAAATCAACATGATATTATTGAAAGAAATTTTTCGTTTGCAATTTCGCTCTGGGTTATGGCTTTCATCTTCACCATAAAAATAAAGATTTCATCATGACAATAACGCCATTTTATCAAAATAGATACTTAATTTAAGTCACATTTGAAAAGTATGTGAACAGCAAGCATTTTAAAATATATGGAAAATTAAATTTGATTGACTTCAATAGGGGTATTTACTCTCACAGTGAACATATATGTCTATGAAAATAACAATATATTTTATGTGCGCATTTTGCAATTAAGGTTATGAATTGTTCGTAACTTGTGTCACATGCTTCCATATTTTTTATTGACATTCACATTTTTCATCGTGTATAGATTTTTGACGTTATAACAAAGGGCTTGAACATAATTCTCTTTTCATTTACGACATCTGAACATAATTAAAAATCGCCGTATACGTCAAGGAAAATACGTCGGAACTACTAAAGAGATCTTCTTCTTTTTTTCTCGCAAATGCTGCACTTTCCGTTACATTTTTATGATGGGGTTAAAAAATAACAAGAAACGTGGATATGCAATGCACCTGCCACACAAAAGACATTATGAAGAAAATCACATCTAGTTTTTTTCTCGCTCTTCTTATTCGTTGAAACGAATCAGGGAAAAAAAGAGATGAAAAGTTGCATAGAAAAACCATTTAAGTTGACCTGCTTCCAAGAAATCTGTTCGAGTCCAAGGCATTTTTAATCATCTGGTTCATAGCGCTTTAATTTGGTTTTCTTGTGAACTTTGTGCAACGTAAAACAACTTTGTCGGCAATCTTTTGTATTTAAATCTTCTCTGTGATCACTCTTAGTTCATGACACACGAACAAAAGCGTCCAATAACGCTAAAGAAGAAGAAGAAGAATTGAAAAAAATATATATACCGACTGGAACATGAACGATGACGCAAACTATTATCTAAATGACAGCACCAGTAGTTAGAAAGAAGAACGGAAATTCCGTTCATTTTCCGTAACACAAAAAAATAGGATATAAATATGAATGGAACTTTTAAAATTATCTGCATGGATTTTTTGTTCCTTTTCTTCATTTTTCTTATTGCATTCATGCAGTGAGCTTGTTCCGTTTCAGTATTCATGAAGAAATGAATCTTCCAATAAATCAAATTGATTCTCGACATTTGTGGTGCGTGCACAAGGATAGACACTCACTCATTCTCCACATCTTTTTTCTCGTTCGTATTCATCTGAAACTTCTTCTGTATGACAGCAGTCGATTGCGTGTAATAAAGATTGAAGTTTTTATGTGTCGTCCATATTCTTAGCAATAGCGAACAGCATGTGAACAATACAGACATTGTGCAAGTTTAGGATGTCGAAAGATAGTTTTAGTTATTCATCATAAGTTTTCTGTGCATATGCCATGTTGAAATATTGGCTCGCAAAAGTAAGACGATGATCAAACTATGGAATTTTTCGATAGTTTATCGACTTGGTTTAGTCATCAAATTTCAATTTCGAACAGTATTTCATGAAGTCATTTTGCTAAAATGAAGTGGAAGAAACGACGACTTTATTTACTAAGAATGAATTATCTTGAAAAATAAATAAATATTCACTTCAGAAGTTTGCTATTTCAACGGTAATCAAGCAGATGATCTGCAGGCCCATTTTTAAATGGGCAACAAAAAACAGGCCAAGCAAATTAAGTATATAAAAATTGAAACTTTTGAGCAAAAGCCAGTATTTCATTGAAAATCCAGTTGAAAATGTTACACGTGGAAAATTAAACAGAAAAACCGATATAATTTCTAAATGTTTTCTTTTCCTTTTTAACTTGACGCCTCATTGTCAAGACGCATCATTAGTAACGAGAAACACTCTTTTTAATCACAAAAGCCTTCTAATTAGGGATCAATTTGAAAAATTATTATATACAGCACCACCCATTCCAATGATATTAATGTTTATGTTTTCATTTTTTTGCAGGTATGTGAAGAACCAGACATCATTTTCGTGACATCGTCATAGCTAAAACTTTCCATTCGAGTTGGTACGCGACCAAGCATCGTTAACGACCGAAAATTGATGCTAAAAATTCATTGAATTTGCACGTCTGTGCTTTGTTTCAACCGCATCTCTTTCGTTCCCTTTTAATTTCTTGAAGAACACACGTTGAATATCATCAATTTATTCGCTGTGTTTTTATATATATTCGTACTTGAGATGTGTGCTTTACATTGAAAACGTATGCTTCATGCATTTTTGATCAACATTCACGCTACTTATCTTGTCGTACCTCAAATTTATTCATGTTGCGTTGACAGTCCGCAAGATATATTGTAGGTAGATTAATCGTTGCGATTCATATAAAATATGGTTGTAAACACTTTCAAAATGTTGATTAATATTGAAATGCATGTGGCAGTATTAGTAAAACCGAGGAAGAGACAAAATGTATCATCGTCATGAACATTTTTTTTTGCTGTTGTGACAGCCAAAAATAAAATGTGAATGATGTGCAACAACGAAACATACTAACCGCCAACATTTGTTAGCTGAATTCATACATTCAGCAAATAGAATGTTTACTATGTCATTCAATTCATATAACATTTTAAGCGTTGTGTGTCAAGAAATTTTATTTTCAATTGCAAAATATTTTGCGGCAATTTAATCGAATTACATTAAAGTGGCATAATTTTTAGCAAATGAAAATGACGCAAAATTTGCTGATTTTTTTTTTTGCAAAGTATGAATGTTATAAATGATGAATCGTGTAACTGAAAAATGTCTTGTGCCCCATCGAAACTGAAGTATCACTGAGCGCGTGTTTAAAACTCATTTATTTTAACTATGTATGTTAATTTTCATTTGTTTTCATTTTCGAATAATTTCGCCATGAATTCCCAAAGCTGCTCGCAAATCAAAAGAGTACGCACAAGAGAAAGAGGGAACTGAAAGTGACAAAAATAGCAGTTTTTCTCTTGCCTGCACAATTTTTGCATATTAAAATAATAAATGCTGAAAATTCGTGCTACTTCATGATATTCACAAAGCAATTACGATGTAATAAGTGTGCGTTTCATCTAAAAATGCCGCGCTTTTCTCTCTGTTCCGATGAGTTTTTCGGTATGTACATTATCGCATTTTTGTCCGTCGTGTTTGGGTTAATGCCACGCGCATGTATGTGTATGTGTGTTGGTATTGCCACTTTCGGCAAATTGGATTTTATAGTGTTTGCCCACTGTTTACCATACGACGCCACATCAATGTGTCCCCATATAAATTTTAATAAATTGTGTAACAATTCATTTAATTTCATTTATCCTGCATACTTCGTAAACTTTATCAAGCATTCTGAGATAAACGGAAGTACAAAAAACGAGAAAACAACCCATGTATATTTGCTCTACTTGACAATATTTATTTATTTACTTGCTGAAATATTCATGAACATTTTAAGCGCAAACAATTTTCCATTTTGTATGCAGTACTCAAATGTTTTCGAAGCAACGAAATTTAAACTGCTGACAGCATTTATGCTTTTTGATTTTCTTCATTAAAATAGGCTATAAGCTGGTCAATGTGCATGCCGTTTTTAAAGACTCATACCCCACAATTTGTGAGTAATATACACATTTTATGAACGCTCTAATACATCATTCGCTTAAAGTTATTAGTGGAACCATTACTTTTTGGCAAACCATTCATCGTTCGTATGCCAACTTTTCAAGAGATCATCACAAGTTTTTTTATCTGATTAGAAAGAAAAAAATCCTGATCGCATTTTAATTACCGAATTCTATGTAGTGAATGAATCAAGTGTATCAACATTCATACGTGTGTTTTCACATTTTCATTTCACGTTTACCATTTTGACAATGTTTTCTATTGTAACAGACTCCCGTCTCCCCCAAAGAGATAATAAATTTTTAATGGACTGCTATCAGCAATGTTCGAATTTCGAAATTGAACGAAAACTAAAACTTAGCTCACGAAAAGTAAATAAATCTTCGTACAAAACCCAGAAAAAAAAGAGAAAACAAGATGTATGCTTTTTGCCAAATAAGAAATCCAAGCGAAAAAAAATTTGTAAAGAAAATGAATAAATGTTCGATGACACTTTATAACATGAAAACGATTTGAGTTCGCGTACCTTTTTCCTGCCTCATATCGAGCTTAAAATATATCCATAATTCATAAATCATAGAAGGAAGAAAAAAAAGAAATGAGAGATGCTGCACACAAAGCTGAAATATTTGAGAGGCACAGAATGTTTGGCACAGAGAGAAAATTTATGAATCAAACACGAGTTTGGTCTGAAAGAACATGAATCAAACGATACAGGATGTATATTTATGGGCATTGGGGCGTTAACCAAATACTAGAGTAAGCATCCGCATTATCAACATGCACGAACTCTCACCAGCAAAAAAAAAGCATCTTTTAACACAATCTCATTGGCAATCTAGAAAACAACGCGAGGTGCAAACCAAAGTGGTGAAAACTTTAAAGAGGAAAATTCAACACATTTGAAAATATTTTCTCATGGTCACTTTTGACTCTTTATTGTTTGTAATTTTGCACATTTATATCCAAAAGGATATCTTTAGCAGTCTTCCTGTAAGAATTGCTTCTTCGAAGATCAGTTGAAGTGGTTTAAGCATAGGCAGATGAATAAAATTCGAAATAGAATTCACAGCCGATGAAAGAACATAAATATTGAGCTCGATACCACTTCGACGCGGAAAAGTTTGCAAATGTTGGCACAGCATACGATTGTTTTGTTACGTAATCAAATCCAAAGTGAAACAGCGGTGGCGCAAGCATTTTGATTACAAGTCGGGCATTTGTTCAAAAAGCGATTATCTTTGTGAAAAATTTGTGAATTATCGAGATTTGTATGTTTCACATTTGGTACGGTATCGATTCAAAATGAAAACAGCCAGTCACTTCAAGATGGTTGAATTTGAAAGTGCATATGAGGATTTACAATTTCAATTTCGCCACTTGTTGGGTTGTTTCGTTTCGAATGCAGAACCATTCACACAGGCAAATGTTGAAACGTAGAACGAGGAAAGTAGTAACTTTCTGACAGCAACCAAAAATCTGAAAGAGGATATCACTGAAACATACAACCTGTCAAAAAAGCACACCTTCAAGCACAATAAATTCTATTTACGTGTGGATGGAGTCAAACAACATATAATAAAGTTGAAATGAAAAGACATAGAAATGTGTTTCCACAGTTCGTCCGCACGTTCGCGTTTGTTTAATAAAAATGCGATAAAAAAAAAATAAAAAGCATTTTGAAGTAAAACTATCACCAATTTTGTGTCGCTAGCACACGAATTCTTATTTTTTTGTGTTTTTCTTCTCGTTTACTGACTGAGTTGATTATTGGTGATGACACATTATTTACCCTTATTTCCACGGCTCTCAATTACCTGTACAATGTAAACGATGTCATTGTTGAACATTTTAAGTGGCATTTTCGTCGCACGTTCAAAACACCATTGCACTTGGGTGCTTGAAAAGGGCATTTCATTGCCTCTTATACCTTATGCACATGCACATCCATTTTATATATGCATTGCGCTCAATTGCACTTGGTTCGCTTTGCTCATATTCAGTACATCATGGCACAAACGTCACACAAAGATGGAACAAGTAGTGAATTATGACGATTCTTTTTCTTGGTCGTCTTTGCCTCTTTCTCTTTCCGCTCGTAACTGGTAACATATGTTTGATTACACTATAATCAAAGGATTCCATTTCATATATATATCGAATGAAATACATCATTTCTGTTCGTCATAACGCAAGATACAGAGATGTTGAAGAGGAAACAGCATTTTCCGTTTCATCAAATCAAACCCAATTCAGACGGCATATTCTCGATAGTTCTACTCCATCTGTTCTTTTTTTTTGTATATCATCTATCGCTATCTAAATGCCAATTGCACATCGTTTGGTTTGGTTTTAGTGTAATGTGTGTTAAAACACTCCACAGCTTAATATCAGTTGGGTTGGAAAATTCATGTGAATTCATTTACTCGATAATAATTTTATGTTATTGATGCATGTTTCAATAGCGGAAATCGTGTTTTCATTCAATGTAATCGAATTGTACCTTTCTTTCTGCTTGTTCAATCAATCGAATAATTCGCTGAAGGCCTTTTCGAGTCTTCATATTATCGAGTAAATGTTTGTAAAATTGCCAACATTTTTATTTTCAATTCAATTAAACGTTGTTAAAAGCAAATGTTTATGCATACTTACAAAGAGAGAAAGTGGAAAAAAATCCCAACTCGACCCATATATAAAATTACTATCATGTAACAGACCACAAGAACAACAACAGAGGAAAATGGCAATTAACCAAACACTCATAGAGAGAAATAGAGAAAGAGAGATGGATAAAATGGAAAGATGAGCGTAAAATAAAGGGTAGTTTTAATAAAATGGAATCACATTAAGTTGTTGCAGACAGAGAGAGAAAGAGAGAGCGATAAAAGTGATAGAGAATTTTTTTCCTGCAAATATAGACAAATTGAATCCCGTATAAAGGGGGGGAAAAGAGTAAAAGCAAGACAAAGTGCACGGAATAGTACAATGAGCGATAAAGAGACTTTGAACAAAAATGAAGTGATTAGATATTGTAATTGCAGCAATTATCTCGACATGCCGACACAATTGTCGCATTATTATTCATCGATTGTATTATAAGTACGCGAATGGAAGATATTTTAGCATTTCCGATGCGTGTGCAATCAAAAGTCCTTCAGCTTATTGTTTTAATTGGTAAGTGATCTAGACAAATACATGAATTCTTTTGCCGCATGACTAAAAAACTTTCAAATGACAATAATCATTAAATTACATTGGCCAATTAAGGCAACGCAATTTTGTTTCATTATTCGATGAAATGATTGCAATTTAATTAGCTTTAATTTTCTACAGAATGTTATATACGCTATTTTCATTTGGACAACACTTGCATTTTATTTGGATTCATTACGGTTTAATCCAGAGCAAAAATATTTCTGGACTATGAATTCAAGTGGCTATATAGTTTGGTTCTGTCGTCAAGAAAAACATCAAAAGACAAATAAAAAGAAACTTTTATTTTTCTGATACTTTTTTATTATCCGGTTTTTGTTTCGATTACTTGCAAAATAACACCCGAATACAGAAAGTTTGACAAAACCAACGTTGCCACTCAATATATTCAAATGGTGGAAAGAACACTCAAAAAACAATACGGAAGTATTACAAAGTTTTCGCGCACAGAAATAAAATATATTGTTGCTAAAGAAACAGAAAAATAGAAGTAGTTTTTTGTTATTATTTCTTTTGCTTGCGTTGAAGAAGTTCGCTATTACGCTTATTTGTGCCGTAGATTATAAGGTGGCCTTATACAATATTCAAAACATCTGTTGTTCGTGCTTTATTTATTTTTCTTCTTTTATCCGCGTGTGTGTATAATATATGTGTCTACTTCAAAGTACATTGCGCCAAAGTTTCATCCCTTGTTCTGGTGAATCACAAAAATTAAATAACACAATTCAGAAATACTTTAAGTTTCTTTCTCTTGTTATAAAAAAAACTAACAAAACCATGCACGTTCCGTCAAACATGCCATCAAACTATCTGCAGTATTATGATGAAGAAACTACTCTTTTTATGCAATTTGAATTTGAATTGACGAGAGTTTTAAGAAAGAAAAAACTTTTTCGCAATGAAAAATCCACGTCGAAACTCACAAAATTGAAACGATTTTTGAATAAGATGTTTCGAAAATTGTTTATATACATTACAAATTCCGACAAATCCAAGGTAAACAACGTGTTTGTGCAACATATATGGACACTCGCCCAAATGTCGGACTATTTGTTTGAATTTTCAACTTCAATTTAATATTTAACATTTTTGATTTCATGAAAAAATATCACTTTATACACAATTCGATGCAGAATTTAATTGTGCTTCATTTCACGTTTCTCAAAAGATATTAATTTCCAAAAATGTATTATTTTTTTCCATTTTTTCGTCATAACATCGAAAATTCCAAATGTCGGATATTCGTCGTCCAATTCTCGGCTCCCTAATCTCGACATATTTCATGCATTTTCACTACGAAACTTGTAAACTTCAAGTTTTGACAGCCCATGAACGCACTATTTACATTGAGGTAAACAATACAAAATATTGGAGTTAAAATTATTAGATTGATATATTTTTGCTCCATATTTTATTTAACTTATTTTTCTATAGTAAAGTGGCAAAAATATTTAAAAATATTACGTTATTTCACTGATCTAGAATATTTTTGGTGTGAATTTCACAATGATCCAAATACGACTTTAACTGTCACATCTGTCAAATCCAAAGTGTTTCACTTGAAACTTCGGTGCTTTATGTGTCGGCAATTGGACGATTTATTCCGGAATAATATTACAGTGAAAAATGAAAAATAAATATAATTGTTTTTCTTTATATTTTCAAAATTTCTGTTCAATAATTAAATTAAACTATCTACAATTCGCCGATATAATTTTTTTTCCAAACTAGTTATTTTTTCATTTAAAAAAACGCATTTTACCGGCTTGTCTCGAAATGACATAGTTTAACTTTTGACGTGAAAAAGTGATAAAAATGCCGAATTTTTTTTGAACGTAATTTGTGAAAGCAATAATAGATTTTTGATTAAAATTTGGATTATAATAAAGAGATTTGATATTGATCTTTCATAATTTACTTTTAAAAATGCAATTCAAATGAATTTTCAATTTTTAATTTCAATTCACCTCTCGGTATTCCGACATTTGGTCGTGTGTCGACATTTGGCAATCTACTGTAATGTGTAAAAATCTGGTATAGAAATCATTTGAATCAATGTCATTTTCTCATATGTTTTTTAACACTGATTTTTCCATTTACATTCTTTTAAACATTTTACATTCGTCAAAAAGACTCTATTCATTATTATGTGTCCTTAATTTATTCGATTATTTCAGAATATTTATTGAATTTGAATTTCGCTAAATGGTATTGTTCATTTGAACAAAAAAAACCAAAGCTTCATTTGCATTTTTCATTATTAATTGCCGCATTTGTTTTGCTCTACATTATTATCAGCATATCTATTGTAATTTTGATCAATGCAAAACAACGCACAAAATAAACAAAAAAGAAAAAAATTGAACCGTCGTTTCATTATGATATAGAAGCTAAAATGTTTTAGTGAATCGATTTTGTTGTGACAAAAGAGAAAAACACAGTTAAAGCATTCATAATATCAAAATACTTTCCGTAATTGAAACTGTAACAAAGCGTACAATGAACGTTATCTTGTTTATTGTCAGTTGCAGGTGAAATGTATCAGTTCAACTCTTGCTTCACACTGTTGCTGGGAAAATATCGTCCATGCGTCTTTTGCAATTCAAATGATTATGAAATGAATACGACAATTTGACGCTCAATTTTGTTTGTATGTTGTTTTTTTTTAAACACAATTGACTCTTATACAAATAAAAAATGTCAAAAAAAAGAAAAAGAAAAATAACAATTTTCTGTTAAAATATAAAACTGCTGTGACTATGTGAGATAGAAATCAACAAACAAAAGTTCATCATTTCGTAAATATTGATCTGAAATTCAAACATTTCAAAGCAATTTCGAAATGTCTAATCAAATTTGAATTGGGCACACAATATGTAGTCAAAGACTAGTTGTGTCATTTTGTTGTGTAAGCCAGGTTTTGTCGTAAGTCATCGTATAATATTGATTTGTCGATAGCATACATTTGAACGTTCAGCTACAAAGCATGCACATTTAGTAGTGTATTCATTTGCTTCCATGCGTTCGTTGCACATTTGACCTACCATAGGGCAACATGGTGAAAAATCCCCTAGCTAAATTAACTAGAAACATGGCATCGGAAACATGGCATCAAAAAACAAACAAACAAAAAAATATGCTCTGAGAAATGGAAAAATGGAATTCATTTGAATGTGAAAGCTTCGACTGAAATTGGAAATTGACAAGCGTTTCCACACAAAACAACAGCATACATATGTGTCGAATGGTAAAATATAAAAAGATGATCTAGAGAGATATGATTCATATGCGGAGAAAAAAGTAACGAACAAACAAAACGAGAGAGAGAGAAAACACAAAATGTGAAATGAAAAATGCCAGTTGAAATTAGTTTCGCTGAATGTTTTCTTTGGCATTTTTGCATTCGTGTTCGTAATTGTATTCGTTGACAATCCGTAATAAAGTTGAACAAAAAAAAGCGATAGGGAAAACAGAACAAAACAAGTATATGAAAAATCACTATCAAACAAATTGCTAGGCGTCCACAAACATGCTTTCTGGTTATAACCGATTCTCTCACAAAAGAATTTACCTCTTTTTTCTAAATGTTTTATGTAACCAACATAAAGAGCGATAAAAACATGTGTGAGTCTTCCATTTTTACCAAATGTCGCTTCTATTTTGCGATACTGCCATGGATGTTGTAGTGAGAGGTGTAACTTTGTATTTTTGACGACAGAAAAATATATAGAGAGAAAATGTTATGAAAAAAAATTTCTGCTCACCTATGGGTAAATTCACTGGAACCAAATTTCCAAATAGAAGATTTACAGTAACAACAAAACATTTCTCACTTTCTATTGCGGTAAAGGCAATGTTAAAATTTTTAAAATCTCGCCCGATTTGGCTGGAACAGCCGAAAACAGTCGTGTTTACGAAGAAATTAGAAAGAGCATGACGTGTTGATTTGTACAAAGGAATAAATGCCAAGCGATGTTAATAGTAATATATTCCATTTCACGCGTTGATTTCGCATATCATTTCAACTTCATCTACAATATGTGACACAAAGCCAAAAATATGCACAACGGAGATATGTATTTAACCGAAAGAGTCTAAAAGGAATTTCGATACATTATTTCTGATGTATCAGTAACGTGCTGCAGGATGATGCCATATACCACACCCGAGTGTGCAACACAAAGAAACTAGTAACATTTCTATGTTCGTGTTTTCGTTGTTTACTAAAATGCAAAAACGACTGAAAAACAAACTGTTTTCAAAGCTATTATTTTCACTCAAACAATGAATGAAGTTCCAAATATACAAAAAGAATTTTTGGTTTTAACGCTCGAAAAACATACGAGATTTCGTGTACACTAAATGCGAATTTATATACGTCGACTCTACAGCATCGCCTTTGAGAGCGATATTTCCTACACACATTTCATCATGGGTGCACACATATGCAGCAATTCTTCGCGATTTGTTTTTCTCTCTCTTTGCTGTAACTCACTATCATGTGTCAGCTTTATTGTTTTCGCTAAGAACCAGTATTCATAGTGTATATACAACCAAATACATATTTCCTATACAAATAGCAACATTGAAACGCGACCAAAACAATAAAAGATGCAACTAACGTTAAATAAACATGTTAAGCGGATGATTCTTTGGTTTTTTGTGTGGCTGATGCTGCCGTCGTCGTTACTATTGTAGTTGTCGTAGTCATAGTTGCCATTACATTTACAGCACACACTTTATCCCATTTTTACAATGTTCGTGTTGGCTTGTTTCTTTTGGCTTGTTTAAGAGTTAAATGAAAAACTCTAAACATTTTATCTTGAAAGTTTTCCCTTTGTGTGTGTGTCTTTTTTCATCTCATAGACAATTCATTTCATATGAGAACTTTTTTATTCTTTCTCCCAGCACATACCGCTTGTATTTTGGTATTAAGTTACACACAAACTTGTGTACACTTC